AAATATTGTTCTTATGGCTTCTGGATTTTAATATGTGCAGGTACATTCAGGCTGCTTGTGCCACCTCTGGCCAAGGACTTTATGAGGGGCTTGATTGGCTATCCAGCAACATCTCAAGCAAGGCACGATAAGCCAGGCTCCTTCAGCCTCTTATTTCTTATTTTAGCAAATGTTTGATTGTATATCTAGTACTGGAAAGTACTTATATAGATTGTCTTTCTATGCAGACATAATCCAGTCAGGTTGCCAAGAAGACTTTCTAGTCCTCCTAAAGGACAAACCTTGTAACTAAGATTAATTTACTTTGCGATTTTTGGTTACTGCTGTAATAAAATTTCTAAGATGCAATTGTGCTACCTGCTATATTGGTTTGTGTATAATATTTGGCCATCAGAAAGCATTGCCAGTTTATAATATTGGTTTGTTTCTGGACTTTTGGTATGTCAGATGCACTTAACCAGGCCTAGAAAGACTTACAAAGAAGTATCAGACAAACAGTTCTAACAAAGACCTGCAAATTTAACCCCAACAAAACAAACCCATCACTACAACAAACAACACCCCAATAATCAGCATCTGAACATGTGAACTTTCAGTGAAATGTCGTTTTTGTCGACAAGCTCAAAGATGCAAACATCTCCTGCTCTCAAACAATTTTCCCTTGCAAAAGCGGCCCAGCCAACAGAAAATGGAAATGTGTTAACAGAATGAGCAATCAAACTCACACACCACGATTTCTTTCTGACCAGAAGCTTGGCGGTTTGTTTCTCCAATTTAATGAAATCCTTGGAGAAACTAACTGGTACATGCTATATAAAATACATGTGTAGCAATATTAGTCACTTTAAAATATACATGGATGAATAATATAACGGAGATGATTTAGAGCAAGATATTGAAAGAACTGTTCATAAATTTACCATTTGAAAAAAAATGTAGTTGTGTAAATGTTGTCAATGAGCCTTACCGGCATAAGGGATGAGCCCACGGTGACTCTGAAGGAATGGTTTGAGATGAACTTGTTGGCAGCTTCAACAACCCTCTTAGATGAAGATGATGATATTTCGGGTGAAGAATGAGTACTTAATCTGGTTTTCTCGCGAGTCAGAGGACATGACAATGGACCAGACTTCTGCCTTATTTTTGGGCAGGGTTGATAATCCCCAAAAATTTCAGCAGAATTATCATTTTCATCATCATAATCCTCCAAGATTTCAACAGAGTTATTTTCATCATCCTCATTGGTTTCTTCCATCACGGGCAACGCTAGGGGATAGTCGATCTCTGTGCCACTTGCATCCAATATGCAAACTTGGAATTTTGAGTTCCCATCATATTTGAAAACTAGGGAGCCATCCTACTCTAGAGAGTAAAACTTAAGAGAACTCTGGCCAACCCTTGTCAAGCCAAACCTCACCATCACATGTTGTCACTTCTACTTCCCATTCTGAACCACTTGGAAGCTTCAAATGTACTGGATTTGATAGATGTTTTTCATACTCCTTCACGAAACTCTTCGGTATTCTCTTCGCAAGTTTTTTTATATATAAAAAAACTGTGTCAAGTAGGTACTTCCATAAAGCAATCTAGATTTTTCATTATGCAGAAAACAGGTATATACTTAAAAAGAAAGAGGTGGACTTACAAGTTTGTGTCTCTAGAAGTGTCGTCTAGGATCATCTTGAGAAACAGTGGAGTGGTAGCAGAAAATGCTGGCCATTCATGATCAATTTTCTGGCGAAGAGAAGCAGACATTGTAGGTAGTATGTACTTCAAGTTAAAGCTTTAGATGTATTTCAAACTTTTGAAAGTTGGCAGCTCATGTGCCTTGGAACCCTGGCTTCATTTTTATAGGGTTTTTTGTTCTTTTGTATTCAAGGCCCTGTAGCATGCAGAGATGTCAAGCATTTAACGTTAAAGAGGAAAAGCTTGTAGGTTTGAGAAAACTGGGATTGATTCTAGCAGGTGGTAGAAATGAAAAGAGAAAAGCTTTATCAAGTGACTTGATAAGTATGGTATTGATTGAACTTTGACCACAGGAAATGGATTTCCAGATTGCAAGTTGACCACATCAATGCATAGATCATGGCCAAAATAATGCACAAACTTATCAGAAAAGCAGAGGCATGATGCATGGAAGCACCATCCCATCCACTCAGCTCTTTGGGAAAGCCAAACTCAAAATACAGCTGCAGTTTTGGTAACTGTTGTAAAACACAATGGTGTAAAATCTCCAATTATGCAGTTTCTTTCTACCTGCTCTATATTGTTTGTTTATCATTTTTGGCTAGCAGTGAGCATTGCCAAATGGATGAAAGTAAAATGCTGGCATCTTCAACTTTGTGTGTGTATTTTATGTATAAGGCATTGGAGTTCACTATGCTACCTGGTTGCATGTAATGCCATTTCATTTCTTATCCTGGACTTTTGGTAGGATGTGGACAAGTTCAAGGCCCTGTAGTTCAGATGCACTAACCTTCTCTTTATTCTTTTTCTTTTTTTGGGTAGATCAAGAATATATAAGCGAAAAAAGAGACCAATGGCATGTAAGCTTCTTTTCAACATCATGCAAAGATACACCCAACTCTACCTTCGTTTTTTTTGGGAACCAATCATATAATGTCATGTGTTTTAATGTTTTTAATATAGCAATATGCAATTGACTTGAGATACCGCTACAGTAACATTCTCGTTGCATAGAAGCTCTTCTCTCTCGACCAAGGGCAGAGGTACACTAGGGCCTGAGGTGGCCCTGGCCCCTCCACAATTTGTTCTCAACGCAGTCAACCTTGGGTTTTAATTCATATATTTAACAATGCAGACCATATAACCATTCTAATGGCCCCCCCAATTGTAATCCATAAATAACTTCATTTATAATTATATGTAAATTGTTTGTAGGCCCATTACACAACTGACATAAAAAAGGAAGTATTAATGCTCTAATAATCAAACCGATGAGCCAAGGGAATAGAAAATAGTGTGACAAAAAAAAGGGGGGGAATAGAAAATAAATAGTTTAAAGGGAAATGAGATTTTATCAGTAGACTTTTCCGTTTTGATACATGAAATTAAGTATAAAATTCTAAAAAATGTAATTTTTTCTTATATATATATATTATTGATGTAAGATTGAATTGTTTTTTCTATACTTGTATTACGGTTCGGCCCCTCCACACATACAATCCTGACTCTGCCACTGCTCTCGACGGACATGATACTAGTGTTTCATTAACTTTGGGAAGTTTAATGTCTTTGATCTTTGTAGAAGATAATTTGACCAGTCTTTCAAAACAGAATAGAATAAGGTAAAGCAAGAACAAAACAAGGGCCTTTAGAGCACTAACCAACATGCACCCCAACTGCGTCTTGGACGTACCGAAAAGAAAAGAAAATAACTGGTTAACAGATTATAGTTTTTTTTTTTAAAGGAAAAAAATAACGAAAATAACAAAAGGAAAAGGAAGAAGAAAGGGTCTCTGAAATTTCCTACTGAATTAACTTTCTTGGTCTGATGGCCAAATACTGATTTAAACTCACAGGGCTTTTCCCATTTCAGGTTCAGCACCTTGAAACAAACAAGAGAGTACTAGGCTTTTGACAATTTCTCCAAAAAGATATGGAAACAAGCTTTCTAGCTGTTCTCAACTCAACAACTCTTCACTTCTGTTCTCTCACGTGCGTTGTCTTGTCTACTATTTGCTCTCTATATCATCACCTCAACCTCAACCTCACCTATGTTCTGTTTTACAGTTACCATGCCTGAATTTGAATTTTACCTTTTGATTTACCCTTTTGCTTGTATCATTTGGCTAGTCAACTGATGCAAACGATGAGTCTCTCTAGCCCATTAGAGGAGAAAAACTTGATTGCAATGGGATAACATTAGAGGAGAAAAACTTAGTTGCTATTTCCGGCCTATGTCATGTGGAAAAGTTATCAGACATGTGATAGTTTTATTGGCCGGAGATAACAAAACAACGTTATCCCCGTTTCATGCAAGTGGATGCTTACTTCTTCCAAGGTGTCTATCCAATCACAACGAATATGTGGAGGTGAGCTGCAACAAATGGAGCTAGTCTAGAATTTATTTTGATCAGAAGCTCATCAATGGAAATAACCAAATAGCCAACCTCATCCAATTTGTGAATTAATTTTGGTGGATACACAATCATTTATGTATGATAATTGCAAACATGTGAAGCCACTTTTTTTGCTCAATTGGAGAGGACCCTACTCTCCTGTTCCTAGTCCTAGTGAGGCATTTAGATGTTGAAAATTTCATGGCTCTGGCTCTGGCTTTGCTGTGCCAATTACTCAAATTTTTCACAATACATTCTTTTCATGCATTAAAACTACAACCATGCATTGTTAACATTGATTTTGGCATTTAAAACCCACATCAATTACAACCAACAAGATTCTGTACCTGGCTATGAGCTTTGGACTGGTCTGCGCTCTTTGGCATCAAAGACATCATAATGTTTGGTGAGATAGATGGATCATACATGGAGTTGTCATTTTGACAATGCGGTGATTGCCATGTGGCTTGAGAAACAAACATAAGTAGCTCTTGGTCATATGATTTGAAGTTAAAATTTTTGACCTTGACTCTTCCAAGTTTCTCACTTCTCTCTCAGTATGAATTGGCACGCGTAAATGTTAAAGACAAAAGGCAAAAGGGGGTTGAAGAAAATATGCAAACAGGCTCTGATTCGTTGGCTCAAAACTTTTGAAGAACCTTTATTTTTCATGATCTCTTTGCATGCGACTTATGATAAGAAAGAGATGTAGCCAAACTTTTAACCAACTTAAAGGCAAAAGGCAGGGCAGGACCACCGACAACAAGAACAAAGATATCCACACAAATTCCCATATCTGCAAACCTAATTTCAAAGCTAAATGTCTTCTCCATCCTGCTTCTCTTTTACTTATTTCAGACTGGTTTCTAAATGCATCAATGGCCTATTATCCTTCTCTGTTTAAATTCGATGCAAAGCTATTTTACAGAATCTAGAAATTTGCTAATCTTCTACAAGTGCATCCCCAACCACAATTCATCTTATGCATTTACTGGGATTTTCATTCGTCCACATGAACAAGTTGCAGGAAGAAACTGTCAGCTATTAAGTCCTTAGTGGAAGTTCCAATGAATTCAGACAACTTTCACATAGTATTATGAGGTATATTCATTTCAAACAATAAGGGATTTGATAGTGCCTGAGTTCCCCTGGACATGAGAAACAGTTGACAGGAAATGGCATATCATACTGGGAAGGAAACTGCATTTAGTACAACATACAGGCACACAACTGCAAAAAGGTTCAAAATCAGGTGCTTAATAACTTGCAGACTCAACCATAAGACGGCATTACAAACCACATTAACATTTTTCATTTGGATAATTGCTTCTTTCTTTTTCTTTTTCTTTTTTTGGTTTGCAATGACAAAATCTAACTTCTGAACGCAACCACACACACAAATGTAAAAACTACAAACGAGGTTCTTTAACTCGTAGACTGTTGCACGAACATACGAAGACGATAACATTAATAAAAAGATTGACATATTTTAATTGCTAATTGCCTTCTTGCAATTGACTGACATCATCTGACTTGTAATCGCAACAGAGTCGCATTGCTCATTCTCTAAACAACTGGTTATTTGCAAATATAGGATTTTATACTACACACAAGGCATATTTAAAATTAGGTGTTGGATCAAAAGAAGAAAAAGAAGAAGAGAGTGAGGTGTTGATAGGGCACTTCAAAGAGACCCAAAAAGTAAGAAGTCAGTGTGACTAAATAAGGTCACAATAAACTATTTAGACCTTAGACTTTAGAGTCCAATTGATTAGAAAAGAACTGTTCACACACTAGAAGCTTATTTAGGACTATGCATAGTTTATATGTACTACTATCAAGCTTCATCATTGAGTCTAGTTACTCAGAGTGAAGCAGAGTAGACAAACGCATTACGGCGAGTATTCTCCATTTACGATAATGTACATCACTTCATTTAACATAATAGAAATGTGAGAATACTTCATGAATACTGGTTTTATGCATATAGCACAAACACAAAATGCAAAAGCCTCTAAAGCAGGAACAAATTGTTGGCAAGAAAATATTGGTTGTGTACAAGGGAGTCTAATGGTGAGTTTGGTCTGTTGGTAAGAGCACCCCACCCAAATTACCTAACCTTAGAGCTTTAGATATTTTGAACTTCAGCTCTCTCTCTCTCTCTCTCTCTCTC